GTTGAGGTGGAAGGATGGCCGTAAGTGTGCCACTGCACTCCAGCCTGGGTGAAAAAGTGAGATTCCAACTCAAAAAAAAGGAATAAATTACAAGTTTCTGCTTTAGGTAAAAACAGATGACATTAAGCTCAAGCAACTCCTACCTATAACTCATCATCCTAGCTATGGTGGGACAGACGAGGAACTGGGGACTCCCAAGGGCTCTGCTACTGACCACCTCTGCAATCTCGAATAAATCAAGAATTACCAAGGTCATACATTTTTAGGACCAGGAACTTTGTGCCACAGCTAGGTCCCATCTGTTTTCCCTGACACCTAGCATTAGATAATCATTTACAGCCATCACCACCACACACCTGTATGCAAACACCTCACGTGATTGATGATCATGTAGGAATTAGCTAGGAATTGGCTTTAAGTGAAAGCTGAAAGTACAGCCTCTCATTTTGCTGAAGTCCTCGCATTTTATAAACAAAGGCACACATGGAAACAGGTCAGTCCAGGCTTGCTTAACGGGGGTTCTTTTCTCAAACCTCTTAAGTAAAGAGCAGAAACAGAAATTCTGGCAGTTCTTATCAGTAAGAAATGATCAGAAATGTTCCATCCATGCTGACCCTGCTGCTCCTTATAAGGTGACAAAGAATTTTCTAAAATCAGGCCCAAAGAGGAAGAAAAAAACCCCACTGAGTTCAGGATGAGTTCAAGAGCCAAAAATGGACTGAACTGTAATTATTTTTGTCAGAAACAGGATCAAAGTTGCCTTGTAACTATAAGGAAATTAGCCTAACTCGATGGTGCTGTCCAGTGAAACTTCCTTGTTGATGGAAGTGTTCTCTATCTGTGCTGCCCGGTAAGACAGTCATAAGCCACCTATGGTTGCTAAGCTCTTGACACAAGGCTAGTAGGACAGAGAAAATGAATTTACATTTTATTTCTTTTAGTTATCTAAATCGCCTTTGTGGCCGGTGGCTGGGGAGCTGAACTGACTACAGCTCTAGATTCTCTAAGTCAGCAATTTTCAACCAGAGTGGATTCTCCTCACCACTAGGGTGGTGGATTCTCCCCACCATTAGCCTCCAGCTGGAGACTTTTAGTTGTCACAGCGGGCAGGGGGTGCTACTGCTGGGTGGAGGCCAGGGATGCTGCTCAACGTGCCGCAGTACACAAGCCAGCCCCCACGAGAGAATCATCTCACCCAACATCAATAGTGCTGAGGCTGAGAAACTATTACATGTTTGTGCAAGGATGGAATTAAAGTAAAAGCAAAACAAATGGTAGCACATCTCATCTAAACATAATTCCCAGGAAGAATGAGATTCTTCAACCAACAGGAAAAGGTCTGGGCTGTTATAGAAACTTAAAGCAGTAGGTTTTTACTGAAAAGTGTATGTGTGTCTTCCTTGAATATTAACTACGTAAATACCGTGAGACTCTGCTTCAGGGCCTTGTTCCTGATGAGGGGACATACAGTGCTGGGGGTGAATTCCCTCCCCCTCAACCTATCTGATTTTTTGGAACATCACTAATTTCAGATATAAGAAAACCGCTATTGCTGTGAAAGAAAAGCAAATCAAGTCAAGGAACTGGCCGTTCTCACAGGTCTGTATGTTCCTTATCACCTAAAGACCAGGCAGGGTACAGAATTGTATATGGACCAGAAGAGAGGTGCTGAGTGGTTCCACCAAATGATGACGGCATACAACATTTCAGAGTGAGAGACATTACTTGCAGTTTTTGAGGGTATCAAATGACACTGTGGTTTCTGCTGCTGGTATAAATTATGCAAGGTTCAGTTTAAATGGGATCATTCAGAACTGCTCAAATAGCTCTCAAATTTACATTTGCAATGTAGAATTTAACCCAGGATAGTCTATTCCTCAAAGAAACAAGAATGAACACAATTCAATGTTCCACTTTGATTCAAACTGTTTTCCAGAACACAAAGCCATCAACATTCATATTACAGCAATGCTTTCTCTTTTCTGCCCATTTAATACCAACAGAAATCGTTCATTACATGGATGGCCCTCTATTACTTCAGGGAATATAAAAATAAGACCCAGTCCTAGTTCTGAAAAATTTACATTCAGAATTTTCATGAAGGACTAAGGCAGAAACTTCCAACCCACACGTTCTGAATTCCCAAAAGATCACCGCAATTTTTGTGAATGCTCCAGCCTTAAGAACGCTGGGAATTTCAGTACCTCTTCAGAGCTTCGCTTTGGATCTTCTACCCGGCTCGGTGGCTCAGCCTGTAATCCCAATGCTTTGGGAGGCTGAGGTGAGTGGATTGCCTGAGCCCACGGGTTCAAGACCCATCTGGGCAACTTGGCGAGACCTCACCTCTACAATAAATCAAAAATTAGCCGGGCGTGGTAGTGCATGCCTGTAGTTCCAGCTACTTGGAAGGCTGAGGAGGAAGGATCGCCAGAGCCCAGCAGGTTGAGGCTGCAGTGACCGGGAACGGCCACTGCACTCCAGTCTGAGTGACAGAGTGAGACTTCAACTCAAAAAAAAAAAAAAAAAAAAAAATCTTTTACCACTGGACTTGGTGGCTCAGCCTGCAATCCCAGCGCTTTGGGAGACTGAGGCGAGTGGACTGCCTGAGCCTGTGGGTTCGAGACCCACCTGGGTAACTTGGCCAGACCTGTCTCCACAATAAATCAAAAATTAGCCGGGCATGGTAGCGCGCGCCTGTAGTTCCAGCTACTTGGAAGGCTGAGACGGAAGGATCGCCATAGCCCCCAGCAGATCGAGGCTGCGGTGGCCGGGAGCGGCCACTGCACTCCAGTCTGGGCGACAGAGTGAGACTCCAACTCAAAAAAAAAAAAAAAAAAAATTAATCGGGCATGCTACTTGGAAGGCTAAGGTGGAAGGATCACCGGAGTCCAGCAGGTCAAGATTGCGGTGGCCGGGAGTGTGCCACTGCACTCCAGTCTGAACGAGAGAGTGAGACTCCAACTCAAAAAAAAAAAAAAAAAAAAAGATCTTTTATCATCAATTAACATTTAGGGAGCAACCACTGTAATCTGGTGATCAGATGCCAGAAGTAATATTTAAGGCAGGATTCCAACCCACACTGTTTTGCAGATTTGCCTATAAAGATCTATTCCTAGAGGAATGATCACCATAGTTCTTTAGGTTTCTAACTGAAATGACATGAAGCTCACCCCACCTTTCTATGAAATTGAAAACGATACAGAAGGGATACTCTGAGCCTCATTTTGTATTCACCTACTGGTGTTACACACATGACCTAGCCAAGGGTTTCTCAGCCTTAGCAACGCTGACATTTTGGGCCAGGTAATTCCCTGGAATGGGGGCTGCCCCTTCTCCTGCAATGCAGGATGTGTAGCAGCATCCCTGGCCTCTGCCTACCAGCAGTACCTCCCTGTTCCCACTGTGACAATCAAAAATACCTCCAGACATTGCCAAATGTCCTCTGGGGAACAAAATTGTACCGATTGAGAACCACTGATCTAGACAAACTGAAAGTACCAAAAGGTAGACAATGTGCTCATTCAAAGACTGGAAAGACTTTACTCCCAGCCAGGAAGGCAGGTAACACCCACCACAGAGCCAGCATGAGGAAAAATTATTGTCTTTTTCTTGTCTTCCACCCAATTTATGCTGAACAACTGAGGAGTAGCCTACAGCACTGTGTGCACATGAAGACATCTGGCTCAATTTCTACAGTTACTGCCCTCAACTCTCCAGTGACAGGGGAACAAACCTACAACAGTTGCTGCATTGAAAAAAGGCAAAATGTAGTTATTTCCACCAGTTCAAAATCAAAATGTATAAGTCTTTTTTTTTTTTGAGTCGGAGTCTTACTGCCGCCGGGCATCATCACGGCTCACGACAACCCACTGGGCTCAGGAGGTCCTTTCACTTCAGTCTCCGGAGTAACTGGGACCACACCCAGCTAATTTTTTGTCTCGATACGTTGCCCAGGCTGGTCTCAAACTCCTGGGGGCTCGAGCGATCCTTCCACTTCGACCTCCTAAATAGGTGGGATTACAGGTGTAAGTCACCGCGCCCGGCCAAAACGTAGCAGTCTTAAAACACATGTGCTCCTGAACAACACATGTAAGCAAAACCGGGTCTGTATCAAACAGGATCAGCGCGAGCAGAGGGAAGGACCCTGAGGGAGGGCAGAATGTCAGGCACCGGAGAAAGGACTCCTTGAAGGAAGAAACCCAGATGTTGGTTCTCATTTACCAGCCCTGCATCCGGGACAACTCGAATCTATTTCACACGCCAGAGCGGTCAGCCACATCCCGCGGGCTGGTCCCCCCAGGCGAAACCAGAGAAAGGCGCTGTGACCAGTGGATTTCGGGAGGACACGGAGGTCTCTCCCCGTCCCCGCGAAGGGGGAGCCAGGAAGCTAGGATCCCCGAAACGCAACTCAAAATCTTCGGAAAACCCACCCCACCGGGTCCCGAGGTTCTCGCCGGCTGTTCGTTAGCTGCGGCATCAGGATCACGTGAGGGAGACCTTGTTCAACACGCAGAGGCCGGTTCCGCCCCCGGAGGTTCTGACCCCACGACTGAAAGAAAGCTCGACGTTGCCCAGGGCCCAGGTGATTCCCGAAGTTGGGAAAGCGCTGCTTTCGCCAATCCTTCCTAACTCGGAGACCATAGAGAACCTACAGGTTTGCAGTCGACTCCGAAACAGCTGGGGCCGCACACTGACAGCTCCCGGCATCGGAAGGGCCACCGAGCTCGGGCCCGCCCCGCGCGGAACCTCCGCAGAGCCCAAGGTCGGCCCCACGCCCCTAGGCCCCGGTAGAACGCGGCCCGGCCTCTTTCGGCCCGCGGGGACCCGAGAGATACCGGCCCGTGACGTGACCAGGCCCCGGCCGCCCTCCAGGCCAGGCCGGTTAGCCCCGGTCCCCCTGCCCGGGTCACAATGGCAGCTCCAGACCGGGAAACAGTCGCCCCGGAGGTGAGGGAGCCGGGCCGCAGCGCCGCCCCTCAAATCTCCCTCCCCGTACGGACCTTCTCCAGGGACGCGTCCATGGCTGAGGCGGCCAGTGGTGGCCCGGCGGTCCCAGGCGCTACTTCCGCCTCCCGCGCCCCGCCGCGTTTTCCACGCTGGCAGCGCTGACGTCCCCCGCGCCCGCGGCTGGCGGGGCGGAAAGGAGGAGGAGCTGTCCGGAGGCGCCGCGGGGTGGGGAACCTGAGGGCTGCAGGGAGGCGAGGCGCGGTTCTCACTCATAGGTGGACCCTGGATACCTCTCATAATACTACAAAAAAGGGATTGGCAGCAGCATGATACTGTCAGGGGTGGGAGGCAAACAACACCAATAAGGATGTGTGACACCATTCCAGGTGAATTGAAGTCCAATTGGAGCCCAAACTTCACCCTGCATGTAGTCTACTTATGTACCCCAGTCCTGACTTGTATTCCACATCTTTGAAATACAAAGAAAAAA